TGAGTAAAAGTTTCTACATGGAATTCCTCCAAGGCAAGAGATAAACAATAAATGGATTAATAGTCCCTACAGAGCACTGTAATAATAATCTTTGAAGTTTTTCTACAGCTCTTAGTTAATTTATTCTAGAACCAACAGTGTAAATGCAAGCCTCTAACAGATAAAAATCAAATTCCTACTAAAGTAGTTTAAGATATAAGTATCTTGACAGTTTCCCTTTAAATCATATTTATTTCAATCCTGGAAAACCAAATTACTTTGATATATCTCTTACACTGACACTTTTATGCCTTCTCAGGACATCAGGGATATTCAGATTCTTGAACTAGTACTTAAAAAAAATATGCAGTAAAGGTCAAGAAAAAATTTTTTTCCTTTTTTTTTTTTGGTAACACTTCTATCTCATCTTTCTAGGAAGCATCATTACTTAACTCCTTTCAACCAGAACAAAGAAAAAGAAATGTCTCCATTAAACACAGAAGGAATTTGACTTCAAAACTGAATCACACAGAGTATCTGCTAGAAAAAGGAAAAAATTACTTAGGCTTTGCCACTTAAGAGATTATAGATCTAGAAAGATATTTTATTCTTACTATAAGGGGAAAAATCAAATAAGAAAAACAAAGAGCAGAAAGTAGTCTTTATACACCAGTACTTTTTTTCAAAAACACACTCTTTTGTTTCTCACAAGATAAAGTTTTTTCAAGTTTCTCATCTATGCATGGATGAGCAAAATACAGCAAACAAAAAAAAAAATCTGCCTTAGGAAGTAACAACAAGAGCAAGTATTTTACTCACAACAATTCAACTCTAATTTGATATTTACTAATGCTTTTTCTATTCAAGCATGGGGACACGAGTCTTCTAGTGGAAGGAAGGCTGGAGAACACCAGAGAATTTCAGCCCACCCTTCCAATCCCTCTGCTCTGGCACACACAGACAACTCCAGCAAGCCCCGATCTATCAGCAGCCAGAAACAAGCACCTTTCAATCCCAGGGCGTGAAAGAGAAAACCAAAACCTTTTTCAAAAGGGAGACCGTCTCAGGTTACTGGCACATAACTTGAAATAACAATTCCATAATTCTTCAAACTTGCTATTTCCTAAGAAATGCACACTTCCTTTAATACACCTCAGATCCCTCTTAGAACAGGCACTCAGAAAATTTCCTATAAATATTCTCTGCAGCCTTTCTGGAAACTATTTACAAACTCAGAGGCCACAAGCCTAGCTGATCAAGATTGTACATATAAAAATAAACTCTTTATTGTCTATCCCCATCAGTGTATAACTGCTATATATATGAAAACAAGTATTTCATTTCAGTTCCCTGTACTCAGAAGTACATCGACAATTCTTATGTGCAAGAACCACCTTTCCAATACTCAAAAGAATAAAGCAGCAGGATGCCCCATTTTACAAACAAAAAGGAAAAGCAAAGCAATAACTTTACCAAAAAAAACCCCAAACACACAAAACTAAAATTCCACACCTGTGCAACAGAAGCATCCTACTCTGGAACACATATTCCAGGAATATTTTTGTTGCTGGGACTTTCTGGTTCTGAACTGCTGGATCTTTGAATATTCATATTAATTAAATAAATTTTAAAAAATACTTGGAATCTATTTTGGTTTATTTCTCCTGCAGAGCAGACATGTTTTGCTCTAGAAAAATTGAAGCATTCTTAAGAACTGGTAAGATACTGAAACCCATGTAAAACACACAAGCAAAGTTAGTGAATTTACACTTTCAGAGTTAATCACCCACTCAGATTCAAAATCTACACTTAATTGCTGGCATACAAAACACACCAAGAATGAAGTGTGCATAGAGAATCACTTTTTGCTGTTGTGAACTATTAACAGTGCAGAAAAGCCAGCTAGACCACAGGGGAAATTAGTATTTATCCGCACACATACTTATGAAAAACAGCTGTTAGGAAACGTAAGGGAAAAAAACCTTTTTTTTACTAAGGATGAAAGCAAGAGAACACGTCCCAAAATAGTAATTTTCAAAGCATTACAAGTAGGTGGATGAAGCAAGTGAAAAGAAGCCACAACTTTGCAATCAAGAAAAGCTCTTTATTAAAACTGCATAGCCTAGTAATTGATCAGGATAGAGAAGTAATTTTTATTTTTCCCTGGAAGCACCACATTCTCCACAGCCTCCACATGTATTTTTTCCTACTATTTCCATGAAGACAAAAATCAAACCATCTGGCTTGTGCCAGACATATTTGCCCATGTTGTATCTGTTCTTCAGACAGCAGAAACTCATCAGGCATCTAACACATGTGATTAGCTGGTAGGAAAACAAGAATTCAATTTGACTTAAAAAATATTTTTGTATTTGTTCTCATTCCATCCCAGGAGAACACTAGATATTTCTGCATACTTCTCTGCAATTCAGAGAGGCTGAATAACCACTGGTTGAGCATGTTGAGCATATGCTCACACATCATCTCTGGGCCAACACTTTGGTCTGAAAACAAGACCAGGCTTCTCCCAGCATCTGCCTCTCTCGTGGAAGCACTTACATAAATAATACTGAATAGCCTTTATTCTCAGTTGATACAGTAAAAATATGCAGTAATGCAACATCTCACTAGTGAAATAAAAATTCCAGAGGCATGTTTCTGTCATCATGTAACTATCTTCCATGTCTAATCAAGAACTTTTTGGTTTTTCCCCCTTAATGCACGGCTGCAGTGGCTCTCTTACAGAATGGGGCTGAGGGCACCACTTCTTTAATAGTTAAAGGCAGCAACAGCCTGATCAAGACATTATTTTCTCCCACAGGGTATTGTCAGAGTCCTCTAAATGAGTAAATCCAGTAATATTTTATTGGGCCTCCATAGCTCAGCCTCAGACAGAGGTAGAGCCAGAGGCACAGTACATTCCATTTTTGTACAGTGACCCCCAAGGTTTCCTCCTCACAGGGAGCAGCTCCTTTAGGCAGCAGATGCTCTGCAGTGGCTCCCACAACTGCACTATCAACAGGGAGATTACAAAATTCTCTTAAGCCCCCAACATAATGCTTTATTTGTTGTAGATACAAGGTGTGTATCTACAGCAGTTCAGTATTTTTTGCTGCTCTTTAATTACATTTCAGATATTCATGAAAGACATTCTTTGTGTGCCAGAGCCCATACGGATTTGTTTGTACCAAAATAGTACTAAAACAAAATTATTTGAAGCAAATCACCACGAGGAAAATACGCTTCTTAACATGCCCAAATATTGTCATAAAAACCCCTAACAACTAAGCAAGGGAACAGTGAAAAATAACTAACTAACGTGGACAGCAAAACAACGTAAATCCCTGCCTTTAGTCTCACCCAGCGTGATGTTTGTGATTCATAGATGTAAATGTCTTGGAACACATTTGTAAAAAGTCATGTTTAATAATTTAATGTGTCAATGCAGCCTGCAGCACCCACCTAAAAGTTCCTCTGAGAATTCACTAACAAGTTCATTTTTTCTCACGACTGGCACGACCAGTGGATTTCAAATTTCATATTAAAAGACAAATAGGAAAATTCATCATCTGCCTACTGTTTTTCCCAGGGGATTTTGGATCACATTTAGTGCCAATGAGGCATCAAATTGACTGCAGAGAACCAGCTGTGGTGGTGGTGGTGGTGAGCTGTCCAAAGGTGCTGAAGGAGCTGACTTGTGTCACCAGGAGATTGTTCCCCAACAGCTTCCAGAACTGGAAGTCTGAAAACTGGAAGAGTCAAGTCTTAAAAGGCACAAATAAAGATGCAGAAACTCAAGATCATTCAGTGTCACCTCACTCAGGACCACTCTTGCCAAAGTACTGCACAAAATGAACTTTAGGCAAGCAACTCTTGCCTGCACTTGGGAACAATCCACAATATACAAATACAGTGACAAAGGGTCAGTGTAACTCCACATCTCTGCTGGCTCGAGAACACACTGACATCGGCTGTGACACAACCTGGGATGCTCCACAGGAGCTAAAACCACATTTCTCTTAGACAATCTGGAATAAAGCAGTAGTTTCAAAGTGTAAAACTTCCTCGAAGCCCCTCATACAAACACCATCTGCTCTTTTGCAAAAGGTATAACATTTGAAATAACATTCTTTTCTCTCCCTCTTAGTATATTCCATCATGAAGAGAAAATTTTATTTATATAGAGAGCCCACAAAATGAAGTTCCACAAAAACAGGAACATATGGCCAAATAATTCTGAATAGCACTTAGCATATTCATCTGTAAAATAAGAACTATAATGGGCAGATAAATACACCCAAGTCTACTTGGAAATTGTCAGTATACACATGGTTTTCTGCAAATAATTAGCTTTTTTTAAAAATTTTTCAACCATCACTCTACATTAGTTTTATTGAAGTTAATCTTTTTAAACCACAAACTTGGCCCGTGACACCTTATATCACACATATTAATAGCCTAAGTCAGTGCATAAAGAGAAAAAAAACTCTTATGTTTTATGAAATTTTTACCAGCATTGCAAAGACAAAGGTTGAAACAAATTTAGGTTATCTCTACCATTAACAGAAATATAAAGTAAAAAACACAGAACCTTTATAGAACTACTTGGAGCATAAAAAGAAATGCCTAAATATAAAAATACAAGAATAACAATTTAAAAACAGTCCTGAAGGAAAGTATGAATTCACTTATGAATTACTTTCTGCTATTAGAAAGGAGAAAAACAATGCATGGTCAAACATCTGCCTTGCACACTCACTGCTGCAGGTTCTTCTGTAATTGCAGCTTTCAGAATCATCCATCATCCAGCTATTTCTAAACTGTTAAATATTTGTAAGGAAGTGTGCAATCAAAGTAAGTGGCTTGGAATTTGTGAACTGAGCCCCAAAATCTCCACTTTTCCAGCCGTTTCCAACACTTACACTGAGCAATACAACAAACATCCAGCTCTCTCTTCAGCGTGTATCATGAAACTTTCTGGATACTTGCACATAATCCCTTGAGACAAGAAGCACAATCACCTTCAGACTCTCAAAAATCCTTCCAGCTGCAGACTTTTCCTGCTGTAATTTGCCGCAGTTTTATAACCAGCTGGTCCTCATCATATACATGATTTGGTTCACCAAACCCCGCTCCCTAATCAATCCCCTGGTCATTGCTTCAGTATCCTCTGGGATTTAAGAAAAAAGTCTGGTTTCACTGAGTGATGTGCTCTTAGCTTGGCCCTCTCCATTTATTTTGACGATCTCGCATCATATCGAAGGCTGATTCCTGACATGCTCTCCATAAAGCTGAAGAGTTTATACAAGACAGGCATATCTTACTTGACTTGTGCTTCAGCTTGACTTTTGCTCATCCTGTCAAACTGTGTCAAAGGGAGGGTTTGCTATTTTGATGTTCAATTCTTTTATTTCTCCTCATGCTGCTGTCACAGTTTAACCCCCAGCGAGGGGGCTCAATCCAGCCCCACACTCCCCCACTGTGAAAAGAGGGAGAGAATCAGAAAAGTGTGAAAACTTGTGGGCTGAGATAAAGCCAGTTTAACGGGTGAAGTAAAAGCTGTGCATGAAAGCAAAACCAAACATGGAATTTGTTCCCCACTTCCCATGGGCAGGCAGGTGTTCAGACAACCCCAGGAAAGCCTGGACCCATCACACCTAAAAACGACTTGGGGAAATAAGTGCCATCACTCCAAATGTCCCCTTTTCTGCTTCCCCAGCTTCATGCCGAGCACACCACCACTCAGTCTGGAATATTCCCAGGGTCACTGGGATCAGCTATCCCACTCTGACCCTTGCAACTCCTTATGCATCCCCAGCCCCCTCACTGGTGGGGTGAGGAGCAGAAAAGGTCTTGGCTTTGTGCAAGCACTACTTAGTGCTAACCAAAACATCCCTTTATTATCAACACCATTTCCAGCACAAATCCAAAGCACAGCCCCATTCCAGCTACTAGGAAGAAAATTAACTCTATCCCCAGCAAAACCAGCACAGCTGACTACAATTCCACTAAGCCTGAAAGCATTGACTGCTAAAGGCATGTAAAACTGAGCACAGGAAAAACCTCAGAAAATTCCTGCTGGCTCTTCACCACAGGAGATAATGCATTATAACACAGATTTCCCCCAAATCTCTGCAGGATCTACAAATCTCTCCTTGCAAACCCTCCAATAATTCCCACACACACACAGTATGTTCTGTTACCACCCTGTTGTATTCAGCAGTTTTCTATAGCAGCCCAAGCGTTCTCTTCTATGAAACCTACTCAATGACAGCAGGATTAAAAAAAAAAAATTCACCTTTCTTTCAGATTCTGAACTTCAACCACTTTAATTTCCACAGTACTTTCATGAAAACTTGTAAGGAATTTTAGCAACTGGCACATTAATTTAGTATATGGCCGAGACCTCCTAATGCAGAAATTGAGTGTAATGACATTTTTGCATTGCTAAAGAATTGCTCATTAACCCAACTTTTCAACCTTCAGTACAGTTAAAACAAATTTTTGTTTTAGAGTTCTTCATTTTGAGTGTTGGACTCTATGATTTCCAGACGTCTCTTCCAACTCTAACTATTGTGTGATTCATTGTTTCCAGGCATTTCAGGCATTTAAAAGTCTTCATTTATCCATCAGTTCTGTTCTAATTTCAACAGTCTCCTGGGCTAACCATATTTTATGATTTGTCTTTTTATGTAGTTGCAAGTATTTAGATACAGAAAAAAATACTTTGATCATCTGCTGTGACTTGTATAGCACATGGACACATGCCCTCAATTAAGTTTTACTTAGGTACATCTTAAAGGAAGAATATCTAGTTGAATTAAAGTTTTCCTTTGATGAATATCCTACCATAATGTGCAATAAATTACCCCCTTGCTGAAGATGCAGTTCTTATTTCTACTGCAAATGTGTCTGGCTCATATTTTAGCCACAGGATCTTGATATCCCATCATTTTCTGCTTCATCACAGAATTTCTGTTAACAAGGCGCAGGCTTAAACACTGCAATTAAGTCACTCCCCTCCTTTCTCTTTGATTACATTTAACATATTGAGTTCTTAGAATTTCTCCCTCAGGAGCTATTTTCAGCCTTTATTCATTCTTAGAGCTCTTCTCTGAAGTCTCTTTGACTCTAACATCCTGCTTGAAGTATGAACACCCAAAGTTGACAGAAATTCTTGGCATGATCTCATAGTGCCAAACACAAAGACATGATACATTTCCTGCCCAGTCATATAGAGATTGGGTCATACTGGAGCTTTTCCCAAGTTACCTCAAATTAATCTGTATTTACATGGAAAACAGTTAACTGAGAAGCTAAAACAAGCAATCCAGTGAAAACTGAAGAATAACTCAACAACAATTCTACCAATTCAACTTCCCAGATGACTGTTGCATATATTCCCCTCCCTGCATTTGTTTGGGAGACAAATCCCTCTGATTTTCAAGGAGGAAGCCCAAAAAACCTGTGGGACTGCTGAATCCTTTGGCTCTGGATAAAGGTGGAATGCTGTACTTAGTAGTGGATAGAGTTAACCAGCCTGAATTCAAAGCCAAGGCTTACTGAGGTCAACAACCCATGTCAATAATGTTCTATCATTGATTTTTAACACAAGTAACAGGTCAGTAATAAGTAACAGCATATTCACATTTTTATTCAGTACCAGTACAAAGAACTACAAACACAGTTGCACAATAAACCAGAAGAAGCAGTGTAGGTGAACCTTCATTTGATTACTCCTTGACTATGTTTTCAGATATGCAGTCTTGGTATTTTTTTCCCTGCTAGATCCCAACTGACCAACAGATCCCACAGCAAGAAGATGGCTGAGAGAATACAACTGCTCTTCTGCACTCAGCCTGGGCTGTGACAGGTGTACTTGATTATCAGTTTTTTGGAGCTATACAGGTACTGGAGGATGAACAGTGACCTTTGCTGCTTCCCTGCACAGCAGCATTAACCAGGCACACTGACAGACTCAAGAGATGCTGTGATGCACATGTTGCTAAGTCTTTGAGAACACAGTGCATTGTTTTCAACTGCTGATAGAATCACAGAACCTCCTAGGTTGGAAAACACCTCTAAGAACATCGAGTCCAACCATTAATCCAGCACTAAACTGTGTCCCCAAGGGTCACATTTACACATCTTTTAAATCCTCCAGGGATGATAATTCTACTAGTCTCCTGAGAAGATTGTTCCAATGCTCAACACAGCCTTTTTCTGTGAAGAATTTTTTACCAACATCCAATCTAAAACCCCCCAGGCATAAGCAGTTTCCTCTCATCCTTCTGCTTGTTACTCAGGAGAAGAGACTGATCCTCACCTGGCCAGAAATTCTTTTCTCAGTCAGAACACTGAGTTACTTACTGGAGGCAATTTCCCCATCAGTATCTGCTCTGTATCCCACAGCTGCAAATAATGCCTGTTTCATAGCTGGATTAATTGCAAACCAAAGCATAATCTGCACAAAAATGCCAAAGAGGATCCCAGTCCTACTAAATTTTAATTTAAAGCCATCTATCAATGACGTCCTCATATTACATTGTATGCTCCTAATGAACTCATTTATAAATGTATTTATAATGCATGTGTCTAAACACCAAAGCAAACATCACAGGGGATGAGAGGGTTGGAAAAGAAGAAAACGAAACCAAACAAAATGAGAAAGCATAATACTTCCCAAGTAGAGTTTAGGCAATTCTATACTGCAGGAATGCTGGCCTTGACAACAAAATTATCTTTAGAGTAGAAAATCCAGAGCCACTAAAAAAGTCTGAGGATTTAGAAATGTCTATTTGACAGATTACCATAATGAAGATCTACAGCACATGTTCCCTGGAGGATTACATGTGAATCACGAAGAACTTCTGAAAGAAATCTGTTTATTAAGGGGTAGATAAAGCACTTTGAAGGTCTATTTTTGTCTGGTTTGTATTCATACCCTGAGGTTATTTAAAAAGAGGGAAAAATAATGCAGGTATGTACCACAGCAGTGACAGGCAAAGACTTCAGCTATGAAGATTAACAGAGCGGGAAGTCATATGATCCAGCCTGACTATGGGAGCTGCTACCAAAAAACTGCAGCTTGTGACATGCATGTGAACCATGAGCATCCTGCTATTAACTCAGACAATTCTGACTTTCTTCCCATTTAAACCTTATTTTCTGCTTCAGATAAACAACGTGGACTCAACTCTTAAACGAAAAAAAAACCCAGTTTTCCATTATCACAATCAAAAGCACTGCTTCATCATTGAACAATGTGACCTGTTGGTATCATTTCAGCCAACATCTTCAGCAATGTAAAACTCTTATAATTTTAAGGATAAAAAAAAAACACTCTACGTTTAGACAGACACTAAAACCAAGAAATAGCTGATGAAACTTGGAAAAAAAGTGTGTTTCTGTGGGATAGATTATTTTTTTAAAGAAAATATCGTGTTTGTAGCTCTAGAGTTTTCAATTAAAAAACTCCAGTGGGTAAAAAAACCCTGCTAAAGGTAAGCTACAAAAGATCACTCTTTGGCTTGCTTCAGGTGATTGACATTATTTAATCAGGTAGATTACCATACAGTTAAGACACGTACTGAGAATGTGATCCATGACCAAAATTCAGAAGAAACTTTTTAGTACTTTGATGATAGCAGTGATAAATGCTACATTATGGATGTACTGGGACTCATACAAGAGCTCTTTAGATTAAAATTCTAAAAATACATACAGTTATTTCTTGATATCTGGCATAGTTACAGTTTCAGTCATCTAATGCTTTCCATATGCTAACCACTGAACAAATAAATTTGCCTGTAAATGCAAGAAATATGCACCAAGCAATAAATAAGCCAAGATGAAACAGGCTGTTCGTATCAGGGTTAAAAATCTAAATTCTTTATTTCTTCCCTGAATATTTCTGTCCTGATGACTCAGCAGCAATGCCGCAAGTTTCAGCTGAAGTCAGCGAGATGCCTCAGTGCTGTTTTGCAAGTGTCAACTCCATGCTCGTTACGGAGTTTGTTTTAATTACAATTTTGAGGCGATCTCAGTTACAGGAGACGAACACCTGCCGAAGTCATGGACGGAGAAACCAAGACACTGAGAATCACACAGAAGGGCGACAATGGCAATGCTGTCCTAAATGCTGTCCATTTGGAAACTTGTAAAATGTCCCGGTTGCGTTTCTGGTACCCTGAGCACACCCCAAATCCCGAGGGGAGCGCGTCCTGCCATCCTCCCGACAGCGCTCATGGCTCGCAGCAAGTTTTCCGCACACGACACAGCTCTCTGCGTTTTGGGGATTCTGTTTCAATATTTAACAAACACATCGCTCAGTTTCTAAAGTCGGGCGAGACCACACTCGTGTCCTGTTTCTCAGCGAGCAGAAAGCAAAGAGCAGAACACGGAGCGGGCGGTGGGAAGCAGGGATGGAGAGAGAGCAGAAGCTCCCGGGCTGTGCGGGACACTCCACGGCGCACTGCCCTGCCCAAACCCACCTCCATCCAGCCCGGAGCCCCCGCGGGAGCCACCAAGGTCCGGTGGAGCAGCCGCGGATCCTTTTATTCCACCGAGTTCTGAGTTACTTTTAGAAAAAACAGCCACGCACGGAGCTGACCCCGCGCTGACAGCCGGGCTCATCCCGCCCGCGGGGTCGGGGTGAGGAGCCCGGGGGTCCCGCCCGCCCCTGGTCCGCCCGAGCCGGCGTTACCTGCGCTGCCCTGCGCGGTGCCCGGCGGTACCTGCTCTGCCCCCGGCGGTACCTGCGCTGCCCCCGGCGGTACCTGCGCTGCCCTGCGCTGCCCCCGGCGGTACCTGCGCTGCCCTGCGCGGTGCCCGGCTCGCACGGCCCGGCCCGGCCCGCCCAGGGAGTTTTCAGCAGCCGTAAAGCGGAGCGCGCCCGGCCCCGGCCGTGAGGGGCCACCCCGGGGAGCGCCCGCGGGGCCGCGCCGGAGCCGCCGAGCCCCGCCGGGACGGGACGGGACGGGACGGGAGTGGTTTGGTTTCGCGGGAGCGCGGAGTGGTTTGGTTGTAAAGAGCATCTTGTTACAACTCTAGTGCCGCTGGCAGGGACAGCTTCCACGGGAGCCGGGTGCGCACAGCTCTGTCCAGCCCTGAGCGCTGCCAGGGATGGGGCGGCCGCGGCTTCTCTGCGCAGCCTGTGCCGGGTATCACCGAACGAGGGAAGAGTATTTCATGTGTCTAATCTAAGTCTACCCTCTGCACCGACAGCTATTCTCCATCGTATCATTCCATCCCTAATCAAAAGCTTCTCTCCAGCCCTCTGTTAGCCCCTTTAACCAGGAGGGGCTTTGACGTTTCCTTGGAGTTTTCTCATCTCCAGGCTGAACAGCCCAAACTCTCTCAGCCTTTTGTACCGTCTGACAGATACCGGTGGTGCTCAAGCCTTGTTTTGCATCTTTTGGGGGGGGATAATTTCTGATGTGCAGCTTTTTGTGCCTGTACAAGTCACAGCCCCGGAGCTGAGGGGAGCTGGGGGGAGCTGAGCTCTCCCTGGCCAGGCAGGATCCGCACCCAGAATGGATCTCTGTGGATGGGTTATCCATCCCCGCGGATCCCCAACATCCCAGCGCCGCAGGCACACCCGAAACTAAACCCAGGAGCATCCAGCCACACCACAACGCAGTTGTGTAGGTGTCTGGACTGCCGCAATTACACTGCTCTCACAAAGCCAAACTTTGATCTTGAATGCACCACCTTTACAATACTGCCTCCTTATTAAAACAAATTTCCCCGGCCCAGATTAATGACTTAATTTTGCTTGGAAGCACTTTTTTGTTAATTCTGTCCCTACATCTACAATTTGTCCAAAACATTTCTATTACTGATAGAAATGTTCATTTTAAGAAGAAATATGTCCAGCCACTCTTCCCACAAAGACGCTTATGAAAGAAAGAAAAAAAGAACATTTAAAATGTTTTCCCTACTGAATAAAAACTATTGAAATAAAGGAATTTTAGCCCAGCAGCTGCTGCAGAAAAGGCAGGAAACAAAGTCTTCCAGAAGTCTTCCAGGCATATGGTGCATGTAGAAGCAGACAAAAAAGCAAATTTCAAGCATTTATAACAGAACGGGCTTCTGCTAATAAAGTATTAATGGGAAAGTCTGGCTGGACTGCTGCAGTACTGAAAACAATTTTAGAAAAAATGCAGAGCAATGTGGTCACTACAGAGCAGGTGAACTAGTCTACAATCCTCATTAATAAAGTACTTTTTTCAACATTAAGCAGAACAGCTGCAGCTGGAGGTGTACTTTTCATGCCCAAAGAAATCTGTCAGTGTACAAATCTGTAGGTGTACAATCAAAGAAATCTGTAGTTGTACAAATACATTCACTCAAAGCATGATTCAGCAGTTTGTATTCGCAATTTTTTAATCTCTTGCAATATCATGTTATAACTCTGCCCTTTCCTACAT